TTCCGACGGATTTGACCGTCGGAATTTTGCCTGTTTTCTTGTAGTGGCAACACCATCCTATTTCCATGTGACGAACCATATGATGTCGCTCTTAATTAAGTATCTAAGCAACGGAAGATAAATAATATTCTCTATTTGAACACTATTTTATACTCCTTAACGGAGTATTGATTTGGTATTTTTATTGTATACGAAGGTATGCGCCCCGTTAATTTCGCAGTTCTCGTAGGCAAAAGCAAATTCTAAGCTTTTTTATTCGAAAGGAGATTGAAAACGGACATGTGCATGTATCTAGTCTCTTTCAAACTTATAATTGAACACGTGCAGTTATTACATTTAATCACTTTTATATGAATCACAGTTTCAAGCTTAACGTCAAAGTAATTGTCAATAAACGATTATAATAGTCGTTACATTCTTTGAATCATTCGCTAGCTGACACTTACACCTATATATTATTTTTGCAACTTTTCATTACAGAACATGATTTTCTTTTTTAAAAAAAATCAGAAAAGTAAGAGCTTGGGTTATGACTTTGCTTTTTAAACTTTGATTGATGTTATAAAGATAAGAAATCATTTTCTTATAACCTTATGGATTTTTCTATTTCTTCTACTTATATATGGATTGCTTGTACTGTTTTTTGGGTTTATGTCTGTTGATACTTGATAATATAAAAGAAAATAGTTGATTTTGTTGGTTACGAAATTCGTGTTACCACCTTTGTTGGAGAATATGTTTCAAAAAAAAAAAACCTTTGTTGGAGAAATCAAAATTGCAGTGGGGACGCACGTGCGGATTGTTTGCAAATTGCACGTACAGAAGTTTGTAGGCTAGTTTGAAAGTTCTACAGTCAAAAGTCTTACACGACCAGATTTGGTCAATTTCAAAGCTGACGTGTGACTCAAATCAAAATAGAAATTAGATGAACTTTATCACACTTTATAATTTAAAAAATGTCACATAAACCAGGAACGGTTTGGATGGTCATGAAAATGTTTCATGAATTTTCACAAAATATAAAATCGAATGGATGACTGGAATTTTGATTTTATTCAGTTTAGATTTGAACATATGTAGTATAACGTTTACAGAAATTTTTACGCATTTGAATTGGATTAAAAGCAAAATTGTTATAAGTTTAAAGAGACTAAAAACTGGAAAAACATATTAAATCATGGCATACCAAGCACATCATCATAAAAAAATGTTTTATATCCTTTTGTCACTCTGACCTCAAACAATTTCCACAAATATGCTCAAGTCTCAGCAAAATGAAAATGCATGTGAAACTATCAAATTTGGTAAATACTTTGTGACATTTATCATGAAAGTACGAAGTTGTTGTGTTGCTGAATTAAGAAAAACATATGCTACAAACACAAAACGAACTTAACAGGTATGAACATTATAACGCTCGCAACATTGTTAGATTTTAGGTCTACAACATATTTTATCGGGATTAACGTTGTTTTGTTTGTTTGTAAGAACAATAATTAAGAGTTCGACAAACATTATAGAAATTTAATTTTAAGATGTTTAAACATTTTTAATTGGGTTTATACACAACCTACGACACACCGTAGTGTATGACAAAACAATCTCTAATCTAACACCAAATCTTGAAAACACTCTATGTTCTATATAAGGTACAAACTTGTGTACTCGGAACAACCAAAACAAAACATCAAGGACACCAAGAACCTTTTCTCCAAAAATTTCGACAAGTAACTCGACCTCAATATATACAACGAAAACACAAAACACCAACGACTTTCTTTCAAAAGAAATAATATTTAAATAAATATTTTAAAAATTATCTTTAACTGCATATCTTTGATATTTCTTCAAATACCTTATTGATATTTTATATTTATTTCAACTTCATGTGCTATATATCAGCATCAACCGATCCATTCTATATTTGTTCCATCAAGTCATTTTATGTTCCAACATGCTTTGCATTTTTAATAATACCAACAATTAATTTGTTTAACTAGAGATAAAGGTAACTAATATGGTTATTAATTTGTGTGAAGTGTCAAAACTACACGTACCATTAAACAGTGAAAACATGTTCTTGTACTATGTTCTTTGTATTCAAATGAGATGTAAAATAAAACACAGTTAGCTAAGAATATGTTAAGATCTAAGGTTAGATTTTCATACAAAGGAAGAAAACTTAATGTGACTTAAAACCAATAGGATTAGTGCAATTTTTAAATGATCACCTTACGAATTATAACTCGAATTATTAGAGTATAAACCATCTACTTCCTTTG